AGAGTAGAGGGAAGGTCCAGCTCGTACCCTGGATATGTTTTCCTTCGAAAGGCTGCTCGTGGTGGCGTGCGTCCCGGCCACTATGGCTTCGTCGTATCTCTCCATCCGTGCCAACAATGAAAGTAAGACATCTCGAGCGTTTCTTACAGGGATAGCTATAATAGACGTCTCTATACTTGGTATCCGTGGCGTCTGAAATGATGTCTCTCATATCTGATAGGAGAAATTAACGTATCTTCAACAGACGTGGTGCTGGCCGATTGCACGGGGACGCAGAACGGAAGCGACTTGTCGTCCGAGGTGTCGTACTATACTGGTGTCCCGGACGACACGCCCGACGACATCTCGGTCGTTACAACGGGCTCGCACCAGAGCTGGGCCAACAGGACGACATCGGCGTTCTTCAGCGACACGGGCGTTACGTTCACGGCCGTGCTGCGAGAGTCTGGCGACGCCGGAGACTACGCCGGAACGGGCGACAACGGGTATGGGAACTTCACGTGCTGGCAGATGGCTTCGACATACTTGTACGCCCACGACAACAGGAATTGCTTCATAGCTTATGACTGCAATCACCAAGGTTCGTTCGCTACGCCTCAGCGAAGTGGTTCGCGAGGACGGCCATTTCCCAGCTCCCTTCTTTTGTCGACGAGATACTAATCATACTAGGAGCTCCCGTGACCCTCCCATCACCGTCGGCCAGTCCACCTTCCATTCCTTCGGCATCCTCATCGACGACAGCATCTTCGGTCCCGGAAACACACTCGGGTCTGTCGACCGGCGCAATAGTCGGTCTCAGCATAGGCGTGGCTGCCGGTGTGCTCATACTTATCGGTATAGCCGCCCTTCTGGTGTGGCGTCACTGGCGTAATAACAAGCAAGCAAAAGCTGCGGCCGAGCTCCAAGCGAAAAGACCGGAAGATAAAGGACCCAAGCTCCCAGACCCATCAAATGTCATATGGCAAGGGCCGGGGGTAAGAGAGCTGGAAGCGCCGCAAGTATATCACGAGCTGCCGAGCGACACTCATCCCGTCGAGGCACACGGGGAGGCCATAAGAGGAGAACTCGACGGGACGCCTTCGAGATTAGAGCTGCATTCTCATGATCTACCGCCTAGATATGAAAACGAGAACGAGGTGACGGCTGGGGCTTATGGAAACGCCAAGGGGCCTGTTTGATCTTGAGCAGTACCTAATACGAATAGCGACATGAGGGGAGGGGCATAACTAATGATGGGCGACGACTTCACATCGCAAATGCGCTATCTCGAGCAGCGCAGCTAGATGCGAGAGTACCGGTCTTCGGGTATACATTAGGTAGGGACCATATCAAAGAGGGTTTTGAACTTGATGATACGAGAATGGTCGGACAGCGACGAGGGTGGCAGGCCCGCGGACTAGATAATCATCTCTCACTTGGCGGGTTTGCCGCATGTTGACCGTGACGCGGTGGACTTTAAACAATTCCCATGACCTTTCAGCCTATTTGGCGTCTAATGGATCAGGCCAGCGAGCCTTGGGTGTTGGGGAAAATCATGAAGTAGGCTTTGACTTTGAGCTAGGGATCAAGGCTAGAAGATGGTTGACGGAAAAGACGGTGACCACAGCGATATTCACGGGCTGTTGAAAACCAGCTAAAACTTGAAGTTAGGCATGGTTAGGCTACCAAAGGTACCTAACCCAGACTCCGTCCTCCTAAGTCTTCGGTCATTCCCCTGTACATTGTTGCTTCAAGTTCCTAATCCAAGCCTTACCTGTACTACAGCATACCTACGGCGTAGATGCTGCGACAGCGTGTTTGCTCGTGCTTTGAATCGTAGCACAGTGATTGAGGAATGATAAGAAATTCTGACGTCAGCAGGTGAAAAATAATAAAAAGGGCTGTGGACGAAAAGGACCCCTCTGTTCCGCCTAAGGCGCATTATTGGCCTAAGGCGCATCATTGGCATCAAGAGGCCCACAAGGAAGTCCCTTAAAGGCTCAAAACCTTCTGTGCTCCACTATATTTTTACCCCACCAAACCGCTCGAAACGCATTCTTAGCGAGCCAAGAAGCCTGAGGATTATCTCTTTTTTTTTTCTTTTATCGCCCCCGCGTTCATTTCTTCCTACCTAACAATCCTCTGCTGTTCACCCATAAACCTGCCGAGTCTTCAACTTTTTCTTTTCCTCGTCGCTCACATAGTCGAGTCGACAAATCTCGGTCTTTTCTTTCCATACCACAGTCACTGCCAGGTGATTCATTCCCGGCTACACGGTCTCATTCACTTGTGATCGCATAAGATACCCGGTTGTCGTTATCGTAGCGGCCTAAGCGGGGTAAATTTCCTCACCTCTATTTTCCTCGTCTGCCCGTTCCCTCCATCGTCACCGTCTCTTATCTCCGACCTCACATTCTCGTCCAGAGACCAATTCATCAAGATGGTTTCCGCATCTAAAGAAAAGCGTCTCGCCAAGAAGGCCGCCGATGGCAAGGGCGAGAAGAAGACGCTCGTCTCTCGATCCAAGGCTGGCTCCAAGGCCGCCTCCAAGAATGCGAGCGCTTCCGGTTCCGTCGCTGGCGATGACCCTCCCGATCCCAACGACATCCCCGCCACCGACGATTCCAAGATGGAGAAGGTGAAGGATATGTCGAATCAGAAGGACAAGGACGGTTTGTCTGATCGCATCACCACCGGTGTGCTGTCGTCAGTCTCTACGAGCAGGGACATCAAGATCATCAGCGCCAGTCTGACCTTCCACGGTCGCGTCCTTCTCAACGAGACCGACCTTGAGCTCTCTTTCGGCCGCCGCTATGGATTGCTTGGTGAGAACGGTTGCGGAAAGAGTACGTTGCTGAAGGCTATTGCTGCGCGAGAGTACCCTGTCCCCGACCACGTCGACGTCTACCTCCTCAACGAAGGTGCCCCACCCTCTGACTTGGGTGCTCTCGAATGGGTTCTCAAGGAGGCTGAGAAGGAGATGGACCGTCTTGACAAATTGGCCGAGCAGATACTCGAGGATGAGGGTCCCGACAGCCCTGTGCTCATGGACGTCTATGAGGTATGTACTACAAACCTGACCTACGACACAAATTTTACTGACATGATCAAATAGCACATGGACAAGATGGACCCTTCAACTTTCTCTACTAGAGCCTCCCTTATCCTCACTGGTCTCGGTTTCAACAAGGTCACCATCCACAAGAAGACGAAAGACATGTCCGGTGGCTGGCGTATGCGTGTTGCTCTAGCCAAGGCCCTCTTCGTCAAGCCGACTTTGCTACTTCTTGACGACCCCACTGCCCATCTGGATCTTGAAGCCTGTGTGTGGCTCGAAGAATACCTGAAGAAGTGGGAGAGAACCCTGGTCCTGGTTTCCCACTCGCAGGACTTCTTGAACGGAGTCTGCACCAACATGATCGATATGCGAAAGCAGCAGCTCATGTACTACGGTGGTAACTTCGACTCCTACATGAAGACCCGCAAGGAGCAGGAGACCAACCAGATGACGGCCTACAAGAAGCAGCAAGAGGAGATCAAGCACATCAAGGAGTTCATTGCTAGTGCTGGTACCTATGCCAACTTGGTGCGACAGGCCAAGTCACGACAGAAGATTCTCGACAAGATGATCGCGGATGGCCTTATCGAAGAAGTCAAAGAGGAGAGAGAATTCAAGTTTCGATTCACCGACGTCGACAAGCTTCCCCCTCCTGTCTTGTCTTTCGACGACGTCACCTTCTCCTACTCGGGCGACGCCAAGGACGACCTGTACCGCAACATCGACCTCGGCTTCGATATGGATTCCCGAACAGCTCTCGTGGGTCCCAACGGTGTCGGCAAGAGTACCCTGTTGCGTCTGATGACGGGCAAGCTATCGCCCACCACGGGATCCGTCCGCCGCCACACGCATCTGAAGCTTGGCATGTATTCTCAGCACAGCGCTGAGCAGCTCGACCTGACCAAGAGCGCTCTGGACTTCGTCCGTGACAAGTACCGCGAGAAGTCGCAGGATTACCAGTACTGGCGCCAGAGCTTGGGCCGATACGGCGTTTCCGGTTCCGTGCAGACCGCGCTGATGGGCACCCTATCGGAAGGTCAGAAGAGCCGAATCGTGTTTGCCCTGCTAGCCATCGACTCCCCCAACATGCTGCTCCTCGACGAGCCCACAAACGGTCTGGACATTTCGACGATCGATGCGCTGGCAGATGCCATCGAGAACTTCAGCGGTGGTGTCATCGTGGTTTCTCACGACTTCAGGTAAGATTTCGAAGCAGATATGACATTGAATTGATACTAATATCCTTGGCAGATTGCTTGACAGAATTGCGAAGCAAATCTTGGTGTGCGAGAACCGAACCATCAAGCCTTGGGACGGATCGATAGGACAGTACAAGGCCTACCTCCGGAAGAAGATGTTGGCGGCCGGCGCCGTCTAAAATCAGCTACGCGGGCTTCTTGTATCATCATACTCGATTCTAACGGCATTTGCGTACGCTATAGGGGGAAGGGAACAGGGTCACCGTATGGTGGTACAAAATAAGAAGGGCGAAGGCACACGAGATGTGCAGGGTCACGGCCTAGAGATTTTATAGACTGGGCATCCAAGGTACGAGACCGCGCCCTTGGTTCTGAAAAAAAGCTGGCTTTGGCGACGACGGAGCCTCTGCAGGTAGTACTGCGAAAAGCCGGCGCCGGTACGCGCTGGGCCGTTTGCCTACACGTGATAGATTAAAGCTAGATGAATAACGCGTTTTTCTCAATACGATCACGATGTGTCTGATGATGTTCTTTGGTGTTCCTGAGTCCTTAGGTACGTACATATTAAGGCCTCTCAACGCGTCAGATAAGAAATGTGAATGTGTCTCAGTCCTGTTCACTGTCTTATGAACACCATAACTTCGTCTGATGAACCTCGGAGACGGACATTGACTTAAGCAAACCCTGCCCCTGTGAAGCACGCACATAAGTAGCCGTAACAACGAAGAATGCACAACAGACAACATGGTCTTCTCAGCATCAACGGCCCTTTGGCCCAATGGTAAGGCGTCTGACTACGACCTGGCGCGTACGCAGAAACGTGCGGCTTGGATACGTGATCAGGAGATTCTCGGTTCGAGCCCAAGGAGGGTCAATTTTTTTTTCTTCTTTCTGTTTCTCTCTCCTGTCCTCTCTCCCCCTTTCTTGTCTGGCAGTTTACTACTCCGGGAGGTCTAACGAGCGGCACGCAAACTGGTACTTGGAACAACGGCTCTTGAGGACATCGTCGCCTTGTTTATGGTGTAGCAACCAGATATGTACCTAATCATGGCAAATCAGCCAACCTCAAGGCCTTTCAAGTTCACTCGAGGCTCTTACACTCGAACTCGCCCAGTTTACACAGCAGGTACCAGTCATCACATATAAATCAACTCAGTAACAAGTCACGTAACAAGTCACAAAATCATAAACCTGAACTTAATTATGTTCCGGCGCCTCGGCGCGCCGCATGCATTTGATTCTGTAGAGTTTTCCCAATTTCCCTCTACTGTACGTAATCTTACATCGACATGGCCTGCCCTTTTGTGGCGGCTGTGCGTTTGGGGGGAAGAGGGTTGAAAAAGAAAGAAAAACCTCGCAAGGCAGCAATGAATAAAAAAAAAAAAAAAAACGGCAATCCGGTTTAGCAGACTGACTCCCTAAGCCGCCTACCACGCGGCATCGATGAATTTTTTTGGGCCATCTCTCCCCCCTTCCCAAACACCACCCCCCCTGGTCTTCCCCTTTTCGTAATGATGAATGATTAGTAGGCAATTCTATGAGTCCCATGTTTGTAGTGTTTTCCTTGAGCCTGCCTCAGCACATAGTACCAGTATAACGCCTGTGCCTTTCTTAATTTTTGTACAAGGGACTCCCAGCTTCTGCTGTGGAAAGTCCATATTGCATTCGATACACCGAGAGTGTTGGCTCAAGAATGCCGAGCGTAAATCAGAGATCCATTTCGCCGTCCGCGAGCGCGAGTCTCTGTTTCGTTGTCTTGGCCTTCTTGCTGCCTGATTTCCGCTTCTTTGCCGCTTTGCCATCTCCGGCCTCAACTGGCGTAGCTGTACCAGAAGGTTTGTTGCCATCGTCAAAGTGACCCTCGCCTTTAATGCCAAGTTAGTATGATAGATATCAGAGAAGACTTATACGCGAAAATGACTCACCTTCATGGTACATCTCGTCCAGGCTGACCGCCTCCCTCTTCCTCTTGTTGCCGGGACGTTTCTTGGTAGCCTTGTCCAGCTCACCACTCTCCAGCAGCTCCTTCTCGCGCTGCTCAATGAGCTCAGCTTGCTCGTCATCGGCAAGCCACATGGCAATATCGCGGTTGCGGTTCTCGGCCGGACGACGTCCGCTAAAGTCAACACCCCGAGCACCACCTCCTTGGATGACGACACGTTGAACTTCCTCTTTCTGCATGGCACGCTTGCGAATGCGCTCTTCAATGGTGCCTCGCGTGATAAGGCGGTAGACTGTCACTTGCTTGGTCTGTCCGAGACGGTGGGCACGGTCCATGGCCTGGGAATCGATCGTAGGATTCCAGTCACTGTCGTAGAAGATGACAGTGTCAGCCGAAGTAAGGTTGATACCGAGACCACCGGCACGGGTCGACAGTAGGAAGACGAAGATGTCGGGTCGCGTCTGGAAGTCGTGCACCGTGTCACGACGATCCTCCAGCTTCGTCGAGCCATCCAGTCGGCAGTACTTGTAGTTCCTGTACGTGAGATACTCCTCCATAAGGTCGATCATTCTCGTCATCTGGAAGTACAGTAATACGCGGTGGCCTTCCTCCTTCAGCTTGAACAAGAGCTGGTCGAGCTTAGCCAGCTTTCCGCTGTCCGTGACAAAGCGGCGCATGCTGGGGACCGTGATATTCGTAAATCGACGCTTCTCGTTATCGGGCTGAGGGAGCATCGTAAGCGGTGGGTAGCGCTCGAGCGGCATCTTCTGAGTTACTAGAGCTCTTTCTTCTATCAAGTTAGGTCCGTAGAGACTCTTGCGCATTGACATGTTGAACAAGGTGTCTTGCCGCTCGACAGTGGGAGTTCGCGTGCCCCCACACGAGATGTCAATCGGAGGAGCGGAGGCACCGGGCAGAGCGGCTTGCTCAAGTCGGCTGAGGCCAGAATCTTGCCACTTCGTCCGAGAGATGTTCATCAGATTGTCGAGGATACCTTCGCCGGTAATTTCAGCTAAAGGCTTCCGGTCTGACCTAGCCTTGATCTGGAACAGTGCATGAGCAGGCGAATAGTTCTCTTCGCCCGGCTCGTCGTAAATCACGTTCATGCGTCCGAGCCGGTCCTCCTTGCGGATCAAGTCAGTGGCGCGAGCGAAGACGTCCCGATGGCTAGCTTTGTAAACCTCATCCGGGCTGGTATCCGCAAATCGAAGGAAGGAGAATGTATCGGTTCCTGATGTACTCTCGCGAATGTTCTCCGGAGTCCAGATGTTCAGAAGATGATTCAGGTATTTGTTCCTGAAGCCGGCCCTGTCATTATCCTTCGTGGCCTTGTACAGCCTGCCGCCCTCGGTCCAGACAAGGCGCGGCACGCGGTAGTCGATGAGACTTCGGGTCGAATAGCCAACCGGAACATTGTTTCCTTCGCGGACAAAGGACGCTGTCTCGGCAAAGTAGCCGGTGAAGAAGGGGCTCGATGTGTCGGCACGTTCGAACAGGTCTGGATGGTTGCACACCTTTCGGAACTGCATGACAAGGTTCATCAAGGTGCCCGAGTCCTGGTCGTCTCCGAGCGTTGCCTTCTCAATGAGATCCATAATACTAATCTGGTTTCTCAGGTTTCTGTAGTAGGCACGCTGTCGGTACGTGAGCTCGCAGAACACGTCCTGCTCAATCTTGTCGCCCAACTCCTTCTGCACGTGCTTCTTCACACGGCGCAACATGAACGGTTTGAGGATCAAATGCAGCCGCCTAAGCTGGTCCTCGTTAAGGGTCGTGTTACTTTGGGCGTGGGATTCGATATCCTTGGAGAACCATTCACTGAACTCGTCGTGTGAGTCGAACAGGGATGGCATGATAAAATGTAAGAGAGCCCAGAGTTCCTGCATGTTGTTCTGGATCGGGGTACCGGTCAGAAGCAGTCGGTTTCGGCAGTGGAATCCGAGGAGACACTTCCATCGTGAACTCTGAGAACTCTTGATGGCCTGCGCCTCGTCAAGAATCATGTACTGCCAACGCATTTTCTGGAAGTAAGCAACGTCGGAAACGACAAGTTGGTACGAGGTGACCAAGACGTGGAAAGGAGCGTCCTTGCGGTAGGTGTTGTGCTTGCGGTCCCAGAACTTGCGCAGAACCTTTCGGTCGCCGGCGGTACCCCAGTACGGGAGCACTTTGAATTCCGGAACGAACCGGGAAATCTCCTGCTGCCAGTTGTGCAGAGTAGAAGCCGGCGCGACAACAAGGTAAGGGCCCCAGATGTCGTGCACTTCGGCGAGGTAAGCCATGACGGAGATGGACTGAACCGTCTTGCCGAGACCCATCTCGTCGGCCAGAATACCGTTGATGCCTTGCTCGTAGAGGTTGGCGAGCCAGTTCAGACCCTTCAACTGGTATTCCTTGAGTTGGCAGTTTAGCAGCTTCGGCTGCTCGACAGTCACGTCACCGAGACCGGTCGGGTTCTGGAAGTTCATCTCGCCATCTTCATCCATATCGTTATCCGTCTTGTTGAAGCTGCGCGCCTTCTGCTGGGCTTCGGCGATGGCGTTCTGGGCATTCGCCACGGCAGCTGCCTTCAGCATCTCCTCATCCTCTTCGTCGAAGTCCAGCTGGTTAAAGTCGGTAACCTTGGTGCCGATGGGGCCCGCTGGTTCCGCAACGTCAACCTTGTCCGACTTGGATGCGGCGGCGTTGGCGTCCGGTGCAATATCCGGGTTGTCGGTGCTGCGCTCCACCTCGTCCGTCTTGATCTTCTTGCCGATGAAGTGCGAGTAGAGCTCAGTCTGCGAGATCAGGAAGTTCAACTTCCTCTTCTGACGGGCAGCCTCGCGGTCGGCCTCCTCCTTACGAGCATTCTCGAGCTCCTGTCGTTCCGCTGCCTTGCGTAGATCACGCTCTTCACGTTCGTTGCGCTTCCAGAAGCCCATCATATCGCGCATGCAGCGCTTGGCACGGGCCTGGAGATCCTTGGTACCTTTGTTGGTCTTGAGCTGCCAACGCTTAGCCTCTTTGGACGCCAGTATAGCAGTCTTCTTGAGGTTGGAGGCCTTTGTAGTATAGGAGTCGCCCGCCAGCTTGTAAGTCTTGGCAACATCTTTACGCGCAAGGTCGCGCCAGATCTGGTCGTAGATCTGGTTGTAGCCCTTGGATTGATATCTGGTCTCGAGGGGATTAGCAGGAGGCTCTTCCACAGCCTTCTCCTTCTCCTTGGGCTCCTTCGTGGTGGGTTCCTTGGAGTCCTTGTCCTTGTCTTTGGGCTCCTTGGGGGTCGACTTGTTCAGCTTAATGCGAATCTTGCCGGTTTCTTCTCTAGTAGGGAGCTCCTCGCCGGCGTCGAGTGCAGCCTGAGCAGCGATAGCCGAGTCCTTTTCTGCCTGCTTCTGTTCCTTGGACTTCTTCGGGCGGTTGCCGCTGCGGCCTTTGCCCTTGCTCTTGGAGCCAGTCTCTGTGTCGTTGGCCTGGAATGTCGACATGGTGCCGCCTTCCAAGTTGAGCTCCAGCGACGGTATATTGCGTGCCGGTCCTTTAATGCCCTTCTGCAGGATCAACTTGGTCTGCTGCGCCTTCTTATTGGCACGCTCAGCATCCCGTAAGTAGCGAGCTCTCTCCGCGTCATTCTCGGCGGCGAGGGCCTTCGCCAGGGCAGCTTCCTTCTGCTCTATTGTGACTTGCATGGACTTCTCTCTTCGTCGCTTTCGCTGCATGTCCTTCTTGCGCTCCTTCTCGGCAAATATCTCGCGCTCCCGGACCTCTTGAGCAGCATCCTCGTAGTGCAGCTGGTCGTATCGTCGTTTGCCATAGCCTGCGTGTTTGCGAAGTCTATCCGACATGGACTGAGCTAGCTCTCCTCGGCGGGCGAGGCGATCCTCATACTCGGCTTGTCCCAATTCCAGTCTGCGCTTTCGGAGGTGTCCGTGGAAGAACTCTTCCTCGGCTTC